CGGACGGGATCCAGCGGCTCGACAGCTGCTCGACGGGCAAGCAGGCTCCGGACGTCGACGGAGCCCAGCCAGCGTTATCTGAGCAATGCCATGCGAGCAGCCCGACTGTGATCAGGATATTTCCCCAGCCAATCTCCTGCTTTGGGGCCCGTTTAAATTATAAATCCCATAAACGAAGGTGGCTTGGGCGTTATACATCCAAGTGCTTGAGGTTGGCACTTTTGGCTTCACTACACTCTCTCTACCGTAGGCTGGTTTTCAACTCTTCAAGCTCTTGAGTCCTGGAAACAAGGAATGGAGGGGAGAGAGAGAGAGAACATGGTAAATCAGAATGTGCGTCAACAGCCTTCAACTCTTAGGAAGATGTGAATGAAAGACAACTGAAATAATGATGCCTTCTATTTCTATCAAAGTTTGAACTCTAATGTAAAGGCACTGCATAAACCCAAGATGTTATCGTTTATTACATACAGCACAAGGTTTTTCCACGTGCAGATTTAGGGAGTTTTTCAGACACCGTCTTTGTTTCACATCTTTAGGAGACAAGTTAAAGTGGTTTGTATCTTTTATACTCATTTTAAAGGTAGACAATTGAAGTAGAATGTATAAGAGCTTGTATGATTACTCCAACAGAGGAGTCCAGCACTCTGCTATTGCCCACTGAAACATCTCAGATAAAAACGGTTCCTTCCTATGGGCTCATCTTAAATTCCAGTCAGTGGCCAGTATCATTCTGGTATTAACTGGTACCAGTTGCTCTCAGACCCTTAGATTTTCAGAACACTGATACAAAGAATATAGTCACTGAAACATTATCAGATGTTAAGCCTTTTTCAATCTTTCAGACTACAGTAAAATATATTTTGAAAGCACTAGTCTTTCACACCAGTGCCACCAGGTATGGCCCCATGGGCATCTGGCTCTCTACAGAATCAGCAGCTTGTTTTGTTTTTCAAAGAAAGACTTGCCACTGTCAGATTTAGTTGTGTTGAGCCTCATTTGCTATTTAGAAAATAAATAGCTTTATTTTCTTCTCATTCTTTATTACCCAGGGAATACTCGGGGTGGGGGGGGTGCAAAGAAATAGAGGAGCTTTCTAGCAGCCCCTCAACTAAGTAATTAACCCTTCCTTAACAAACTGAGTTTCAACAAAATTTGTAGGCAACCACCTACATGTTTTACTCAGGAGGCATGACGGGAGGAAGCCCAGAAAGTCTCCAGAAAAGTAACAGCACTGCTTATTTTAAATGGGACCTCAGGTTCAGCAAGGTTTGCCAAACTTCAGACTGCTCTTTCCCATTTGAAAACCATTTGGTGACTAGTGTGCAGTGAGGGACATGGACATTTAAACAGATACATACGCAATGGTTTCTCCACAGGGAGGCTTTGTTAATATACCAAAGCAGATGTGCAGGGTGAGATAAGAGACAGGCAGATGGCTAGTGAATCCCCCCACAATCACAATGGCTCTGATTGGTAAGGGCAGATCTGTAAGGCTCAGTGTTTTGCCCATTTGGAGGGAGAATAGAGCTTGGGAGAACCCTGAGGAAGACTACTAGAACTATGAATTAACTACATGGTTTCACCTGTGGCTGCAGGGAGGAGGAGAGAATGCTATGTGGCAAGAAGAGGTGAAAAAATCCTTCTAGAAGCATTGAGAAGTTCCCTGCCTGGAATAAACTCATGCCTTGATAAACTAATCTCTGCTTTCAGATCATCTACTTCTTTGCAGAGGTTTTGGAGGTGAGAAGACTCTGGAGCCTGGTTCACTATGTTAAACTTTCCAATTTCTCTTCAAATGTTAAAGAAGTAAGGATGTCTGTCCCAAAGAGTGTAGGACTAAAGCAAAATAAAGAACTTGGTCTTGAAGATTCCCCAGGAGGCAGCATAAACAGTGGTTGGAGAGCTTTGGCAGCAGAAACAGAATGGCTGTTCCACTGGCTTCAGGCTACTTGGTGGTTTTTCTTTTTTGAGACTAGATCTTGCTATGTTGCCCAGAATGGCTCCAAACTCCTGGATTCGAGTGATCCTCCTGTCTCAGCATCCCCAGCAGCTAGGACAAAAGTGTGCACTTTCTATACTTCTGGCCTCTGGCTTTAAGGAAAGTTTTAAATAAAGATGCTTACATATCTAATAAAATTGCCAGCCTGAACCACAAAATAAGATCTCTCTCAACAAACAAAACAAAACAAAAACAACTGCCGGGTGTGGTCACTCACACACCCCTGTAATCTCAGCACTTGGAAGGCTGAGGTAGAAGGATTTTTGCAAGTTCAAGGCCAGCATGAACTACACAGCAAGACTCTCTCAAAAATAAATAAACTGGGCATGGTGGCCTGTGGCTGTAATCCCAGCACTTGGGAGGCTGAAGCAGGAGAGTGGCTACAAAGTTCAAGGCCAGCCTGGCCTACATAGTTCAAGGCCAGTCTAAACTGCAACAGCAAAGAACCAAAAATAATAAATTAAAAAAATTTAAAACAAAATCAAATAATAATTTAGGCAAATTAAAAAGTTTTCACATAGCTGGCCATGGTGGCACATGCCTGTAATCCCAGCACTGAAGAGGCTGAGGATTGTCAAGTATCAAGGGTAGCCTGGGCTACACACTGAGTTGAAGGCTATCCTGAACTATATAGTGAGACTCTGTCTCAAAAAAAAAAGTTTTCACATGATTAATCAGAGTTTATATCCGGCCCACATAGTAACATTTACATTTCTTCCCTGTCCTAGCTCCTTGTCTGTCTTTCCTTCCTACTCTTGTTGTCCCTGATCTCCATTTGTTTCTCTCTTCTGTCATTCTATCTGCCTCTGTCTGATTATGATCTGCCTCCTGAGCTCTTTCCATTTTCCTCTCCATCATTCTACCCTATCCCCGCCTTTTTTTTTGAGACAAGGTCTCCCTATGTAGTTTAGGCTGGTCTTGAATTCAGTGTGTATCCCATCCGGACCTCAGACTCATAGCAATCCTCCTCCCTTAGACTCCTGAATGCTGGGATTAGGCATGTATTACCACGCCTGGTCCCATCCCCATTTCTTGTGTTCATCCTCTCTTCTGAGCTGTTATCTGTCTGGACTGCTTGCCCACTTCCCTTTGTCTTCTATTTTGTGCATCAAAATCTCTATTTTGTTAATTAATCTTTTCCTGCACATCTCCCTCTACCTGCATCCACTAGAATGTAAGTCATTTGTGCGCAGGGACCATGCTATATTTGTGTCCTTCAAAGGGCCTTCCAAAATCATTGTTACTGTGCCATTCCTAAAAATTGGGTGTTGGGTGGAATGATCATGACCTTTAAATGATAAGCAGTTTCCTTTTGCATCTGGATGCAAAATGAATGGATCAGGAAAAAAAGGAAGCCACATATACCCTGCAGATTCTTGTATCATTGAATATG